TGATCTAATCCCAATAGAAGTCATCCATCTGATTCAGGTCGATTCCGGCGGTCCGGTTGTAGTAGAAGTTAGTTGTTTGGTTTGGATTGTTGCTTGCACTTCAATCCCTACCAACGCAAGCGGTTGGTCCCAATGGAAATCAACCCTCTAGTCCAAGATCTCAGTTGGCAATGACAATTCAATCCTAGTTAACAGTGGCAGCTTGGTTCCATCAGCTTCGATGGTCCGGTCTAATTACTGCTAGCGAGCAACTAAGCCTTTGTAGATTTGGATCAAATTGTAAAAGAGATTAAGTTACGATTTGAAATAATAAGAGTTTAAAAAAAATTTCAGCTTACAAAGAGATTGAGAAAGAACTTGAATTTAGGTCAAATTCAAATTCATACATTTTTAATTATCCAAACAATGAATTTAACTCAAATCTAAATTCAAATTTAAATCAATATGTATCTAAACATAGCATAAAATGATTTATTCAATAGGGTCATTTTTTAAAACAGGGGCAATAATTATACTTTAAAAGACTGAAAATACTTTATATTTTTGAACATCTAATTTTTTAAAAAATATCTTATATTTTTTAATGGAGGGAGTATACGGGTAAATGAGACTTAACTGCCAAAAAAATTATTTTATTCTAGTAAAATCTCAATAAATTTTAAAAATATAAAGGAAGTCCTTTGGTTCTTAATTAATTTTTTGATAAAATTTTTAAACTTATAAATTTACGGCCTATTTATCGAAATGTTCCTCCTTTACTTTAATTTACAATTCAATTTCCCATTTTAATTTAAGAATATAATGTTTTTAAAAAATAATTTCAATATTGAATTTATTTTATAAAAGTATTTGTTCGAATTTGCAATTTACTATCTTAGATTTGTAATTTCATTTATTATGATCTGTAGCTATGTATCTTAATTTTATTTATGAACACAATTTCAATATTTTTTTCTCATGAGAAATTATTTACTCAATTTTAAGATTTTACAACTTAATCTCTATAGTTTATAATTTTTATTTACTTAGTTTACAATTCAAGTTCAAAAATTTATTTAAAAATTCAAGATTTGAACCTTAAATTATAATGTTATTTTGTGAGTTATAGGTATTTGCAACTTACTTTCTCATATTTGCAATTTATATTCCAATTTTTATTTAGGAACACAAAATTTTAGTATTAATTTTATTTAAGAAATTTTATTTAAGAAATTTTATTTATAAATTTCTAAATAATATTTGGAACTCAAGTTGTAAACTAAGGTACATGGAATTGCACATTAGGTAAAGTAGATTGTAAATTCTTGGAATTAAATAGATAATTTCTCATGAGAAAAATAAATATGGGAGAATTTCAGTTAAAGACTACGACAGCTACTTAATTTACAAGTGGGTTTAAAAAATTTTAAAATTTCAGTTCAGTTCAAGGGAGAAAAGTTAAAAAGCTTCAACAGTGAAAAAACCAAAACACCCTTTACTTATTATTGTAGAATTGCTAATTGTTAATTTTCTTACTCCACTTGTTAATTAGTAATATGAGTTACAAAATATATAAAATTGACATATTTATATTTATAGAAGACTTAACATTAATTATTCAATCTTAAGCAACAACATCACTATTAGTAATTTAAAACTGATATTAGTAAATTAACAAGTAACGTTAACAAATTAATAATTAATATTACTGATTGTCTAACAATGAATATCATTTATAAGTGATATCAGTAAATTAACAAGTAAAGTAAAAAAAATTAAAAATGAGTTATTTTTCCTAACAAGTTAAGGGTATTTTGTTTTTTTCATTGTCAAAATTCTTTTAACTTTCTTCCTTAGATTAAACTGAAATTTCCAAAAAAAAAAAATCTTACATGTAATTAAGTAGCTATTGTGGTCCTTAATTGAAATTCTCCCAATAAATGTTGAGATTATGTTTATAAATAAAATACGGATATAGAGTTGAAATTGTAGTGGATACAAAGTTACAAGTTCAAGAGAATAAGTTGCAGATTCTTGAAAATGAATAAAAAATCTTATAAAATTTAATATTAAAATTTAGTGTTTTTACAAAAACATTTGTGTTCTTAAATTAAATTAAGAAATCAAGTTTCAAATCAAAGTAAAAAGGGTTGCAAATTTGAAAGTTTAAAATTTAGTCAAAAAAATGAATTAAGGATCAGGGGACTTTTTTTGTATTTTAAATTTGGTTGGAACTTTATCGTGATAAAATGGTTCAATTATGAATTAAGTGTCATTCTGCCATGATACATCTACGCTAACAGTGCTCCGGGCAAGTCCAAATGGGCAGGCCAATGTGAAAGAAAACAATCAGTGACAACGCAAAGGAGAAAAGAAGCCATTGACTTGCTAGCATGTTTGATGAGGGAGGAAGAAGGAAAATATTACATGGATCACAAAAGTTTCTGAGAGACACAGCTTTTAATCTTGTTTTTGCAGGTAAAGATACCATGACTTCGGCTCTCACGTGGTTCTTTTGGCTTGTTGGTAAACACCCTTCAGTAGACGCAAAGATTCATGGAGAGATCAAAAAAGAAAAGGAAGTAAAAGATCAAGTATATCTCCATGCCATCTTGTGGGAATCTCTGAGATTGTATCCTCCCGCACCTAAGGTGCCCGGGTAAACAATCAAACATGACATTCTTCCAAGTGGACATGAGATCAATCCTTGTACTATGGTAATAATATATTTGTATGCGATGGGAAGGGATGAACAGATATGGGGAAAAGATTAATTGCTTGGATCAAATTCAAACCAAAAAGATGGATCTAAAAGAAAAGAGACATTGTTCACATGCTGCCATACAAGTTTATTAGTTTCGCCGCAGGACTTAGGATTTGCTTGGGCAAGGACTTGTCCTTCATTCAACTGAAGATAATAGCTTGTGCTATATCTTTTGTAATTATCAAGCACATGTTGTATAAGATCATCCTGTTTCTCCCTTAGTTTCAATAGTGATTCGAGTGAGATCATGATCTCAAGGTCCATATCACAAGATGTTGATCAATATAAAGGTGGAAGGTATAATTTGTTTTGTTTTGTATGTATGTTTGAAGTTGTTAATTGAATTTTTTTTTGTCCTGCATGTGTTTTGTTTTCTACGTTTGATTATGTTATTGTGTGTATTGGCTGAATGGATATAATCAAGCGCCGATTCGCTTGGACCTAATGTCGCTATGAAGAGTTGAACTTAGCTTGCTGTTACATGGCATGATGTCATTGCCTATTAGCATAATCTACTTTGCACTCTACAAAGAATCTGTTTGTTCAATAACATAAAAGTACTGTTTCGATAGGATAGGTGGATTTAGACTTAAATTTTAAATTTAAATATCATATTAAAATTTATGTATTGAAAATCTTTTGTTTTGATAATATAAAAAATTTCAAATTTAAGTTAAGGATGAAAGAAATATGGGAACTAAAATGAAAAGAGTGGGAGTTAGAATAACTAGCATTTCAAATAACTAAAAGTGTAAGGAGAGTTGATATTACAAAAACAATTATAATAAAATATGAATTTAAATTTGAATTTGATCCAAATTATTAAGGTAACCTTTGGATTGATGGATTTGGACTTAAATTTTAAATTCAAATCTCACATTGAAATTTGTGTATTTAAAATTTTTGTTTTAAGTAGTTAAAAAAATTTCAAATGAAAAAGAGAGATTAATTGAGATTCAAAACAAAAATGAAAAAGAAATGATGAGTTTATTTTTATTTTTTAATTAACAAGAGATAAAAAAAGATATGAGAGCCATAGAAGTATTAATAGTAAAAAACTAAAAAAAATGTTTTAAAGTGTTTAAAATTTTAAATGATTAGGGCATAGAGAAATTTCAAATTATAAAGGAATTATAATTTAAAATAGACTTTAAAAATTTATAATTTTTTTGTGTAATCAAATGAAAAATTTGGTTTTAAAATCCAAATCTAAATCCAAATTTCCATTAATCCAACACATCATAAGTTTTTATGGATCTAAATGATAAGTTTGACTTAAATTCAAATTCTCTTACGTCCAAATGCAGCAAATTATTTACATAATAATGCCTCCTTCTCAATTTATAATATATTTTTAAATAAAATCCATGTATCAATAAGTTTATTAAATGTGCTTTACAATTTTATTTTTCAATATAAAAATATAAATTTTTAAAATACTATTCATTTAAAGCTTCATTTGTAAAAGAATATTAAAAAGAGATAATATATAAAAAGAATAATATTAAAAAAAAATATTCATAATAAACTTTATTTTTGTTAAAGTATTTTATATTTTGAGACACCGAATCTTTTTTAAAAAATTTTATAATTTAAAATAGATGGAGTTCAAATAAATCTGGATTGAAATATTCACATCTATTAAAAAAATAATGACGTTCTCTTTCAATTTTATTTTATCATCTATTTTTCTTTTAAGAAAAAACAACAAAAATGAAAAGAAATGAATGTACAATCTTGTTTGAAATTATTTTATTTTATTATTACGAGAACTATTGTTTTGTAGAAAATGTTTTAAGAAAAAAATAATAAAAGCATATTTTCTTTTGCATTTTCTCTTATTTTTCAAAAACAATAATCCTAAAACATTTAAAAATATTTTCATTTTGTATTTTTCAAAATAATATTTAATTTTTTTAATTTTCCAAAATATTTTTTAAAATACCTTATCAAATATATTTTTTTCATTTTAGGGAATATAAAATTATTTTTAAATAAGTTGCCAAACATTTCCATTGCCCCATCCATCTTCCACCACTTTCGTTCGGACTGTCAAATAGCTGAACCAACATTAATAAGCGCAAAAGGCCACCCACTAATAATATTTATTTTGTTATCATTCAATACCTATCTTACCTACAATCTTAAATTTACATATATAAATTATTTTAAAAATGATAACATAATCTGCCATGCAACAAGTTGGCCTTATTTTTTTCTGTTAAAAAATTAATATAAAATAATGCAAAAGCATGTGTTGAAGATAAATCTCAATACTTTTGTCCTTTTGATGTTATTTCTCTTTTAACAATTCTTTCATCATGATTTGTTTAAAAACTACAATACTCCACAAATTATTAGAATACTTGTTTTAATGTAAATAACATTTCTCCATGAATGAAAGAATCACATCAGCTTCTAATAATAAGCCCAACTTCTAATCCACAGGCCACAGCTCTACGTTATGAAAAAGCTGGTTGGAAATCAAGAAAACAGACGACACAAAAACATGGCATGCAGCCATGAAAACTTGTAGCTTGTTGGTTAGTGTGCCGCACACTCGGCCCACAGATTGCAAGTTCGAATGGCAGACCCAAAAAAAAAAAAAAAACGTTGCATGCAAAATGAACAAAAATTAGTCCAAAGTCTCAGTTATACTGAGTCTCCTACTGTTGCTGACACATTTACCGCTATAGTCCTCAGTCCTTAGCGTATATAAATCATATATGAACTTTATTAGACCTCTTGCTCATTATTCTTCCGCAGAATATTAAAGGAGGCATCTTCGATCAAAATATCAGAAATTTTTTTAAATCAAATCCTCTTCCCAGGACTTCTCAGGTTTCACCCATCAGATGAGACCCCATGCTCATGTTTCTGCAGAGTGAAGCAGTAAGGACAGAAGCTATCAACTAAAACTCAATTTACAAGGTACAAGCCCAGAATGTATAATTGTAATGGGAATTCTGACAAATCATAAATTCGTTAACACATAGTTACATACCAACATCTAACTTACAAGCAAATTGTCCATTTCACTTAAATAATCAGCTGAAAAGAATATGAACAGCATAACAGGTAATGAAATATAGTTGTCTTACAGCCAAGAAAGTCAAAAGAAACGGAGGGAGGCACTCAGCCTCAAGAATAAGAGGAAGAAGACTTTTGAAGACAAAAATAACCTCACTCAAAATCATTAACTACCATAATTATTCTAGTCTCTGTAAATTCCTCTTACTTGTAGGGTGCCTTTGCAAGTAATTTGATTATAAAATGTGAGCGTGTTAAAATATTTTACAAGCCACACTTTTCACAAGTAATGAATATTATAGCTCCTTCCTTTTAGAATTTGTGCAAATTCACAGGAGAAGTGCCTAGATTTTTTAAAGATTTGGCCAACGCAAGCTATTGGAAAATTAATTTCATGAATGCAGGATCAGTTGTAATTTTAGACTAATCAACAGAATATGTTTCAATTATTCAATAATATCAAATAATTAATTAGTAACAAGTATTGAAGTAATGGATTGGGTACATGTTATGGATAGACTATAATGAGTAGGCTACCAAGTAACTCTATGAGGGAACCAGGCTCTAATCCTCAAGCCTCAGCTCACTTGATAATAGTTATCAACTAATCATATTTACACTATAGTTAAGAGTTTGTTCTTGACCTAAATAAGAGTTGACAGATTCTCTAAACTGAATTGCAACCTATTCTTGCTTACTCCTTTCCTCTCTACCTACGAGCTTCTTCTAAATGGGGTCTCTCTAATATGACAATGGTACGACCTAAACTAATCATTATTCTATATCACAACCTACTTCTCTTTGCCAATCCCCAACAGGAGTACAGGATGGGAAGCACTAATTGCAACCAGTGTTTTCTGTTATCTATTCTGGGGGAAAAAAAACGTCGTTCTGAAGAACTAAAAAAACCAGAATATCTTTTAAATGTTTTGTTAATTTTTGTTCTGCAAAACTAGAGAAAAATAAAAAATATCATGCTTTCATTAATGACAATTATGTTAATAAAATAAATTATTTTTTCACCCTTTATTTCACCAATTTAGATATGTTTTCCAAAATAATGATTCAAAACGATTTTTTTCCATTTTGTTTCCAAAACTTGTTCCAAAAACTATTCTGCAAAATTGTTTTAAAAACAGAAAATAGAACCAAACAAGCCCAATAAGATATATCTTTTGTGATGTAAAACTCGGCAAGGCAGGCTCACTTTCATGGTCAAACATTTAGTGAGTTGAACTAGTGCTCAAACAAGAAAAAGAGGGGGGGGGTATACATCAACAAATGGTCATGCCTAATGGAGATCAACACCTGTAGATATATCTTTATTCAGCATTCAAAAGCAATCATAAGGGAACATATAAGTCAGCCATCAGTTTCATTTCACAGAGATGCAACCCATGAGATGAAAGCAAATTACTTTGTGGAAGGCATGGAAAGAACAATAGTAATTCATTCCCAAAATCAATCCTTGTTTTCTGGGTAACACATGAAACTCATTCAGCTACGGAACACAACAACTGTATTAGTCAAACAGCAGCGAATCTTCTAATGTTACAATTACTTGAGATTTCATTAAAAGAATCCAATCTTACCAACACATTCTGAAAAAACTTGGAACATAATTGTTCTCATAGACATAAACATCTTGACAAGTTTATCTCAGAAGTTACATTCTTCACTTGCAAATCATTTGAGATTAGAGATATGCTCGAGAGTCAAGTCCATATTCTTTAATTTACACAAGGGAACGACAGAAAGCATCAGAAAGATAATCTCAAAAGTTAAAAGAAAGGAACAAATAAGGAATAGAAACAAGAATAAACGATACACTTAAGACTATCACATATTGCACAGTTAACGTTCACAATATCAAGCTGTTTCTGTCACCACAAGATTTATTGATCCATCTAACAATAAACAGCTATATGCACACCATGCAGGAAGGTCAACAAAATGAGAACATAACAAACTCAGCCAAACCTCTCTCTAATGGCCTTAAGCAGTTACAGAACATAAATAACCACAATAAACTACTTAGATCCCCAAAGTAAGGAAGAAGATAAAAAACACAAAAGGAAATATAGGAGGAAATCATGTGTGTTATAGCATGTCAAAACTTTTTAAGGCTACCAGAGAGTTCAAACAAATTTAAATCTAAGTTATATGATGACTCCCAACCTGATTTTATCCGTTAGAGCCTAGCAGTTCAAACAATCCACAGCAATTCAACCAGGAGGACTTTCGCATTGGGGGATCCGATGCCACTAGGGGCTGCAAACCAGTTCATTAAAGAAAAACAGTTGTAAGTATAATTTACCACACAACGTTTGCAAGGGTCGAATTAAGATTGCAATCATGAAAATGTAATACCTGCTCTTCAGAGCATTCCGGAATTTCAGAATCTTTGGTATGTTCTATAGCATTAGTAGATTCAGGGATAGGACTACCATATGATGAATTTGGTAATTTACTATCATATTCCTTTTGTTTAGATACATCCAAACTTAAAACTCCAGCATTTTCATTAGAGGAGGGATATACTTTATCATCATTTCTTTGCATACCAAGATCTGCTGCTCCTACTTTAGCAGCCGCTGGCTTCTCTGGCAAAGAACTTTCAGTATCACTGCTTTTCTCCACAGACACTAAACTCTCTGTCTTAACTGAATCATCGATCTCCTTGAATGGCGTATTTTCAGAAATGAACATCATTTGGACTGGTGCCGAACCAGAGGATTTACCCAAATACTCAGGCGTTGCTGCCTCTTGTATTGAATTACAGGATTTAAAATCAGAGTCCCTCTCAGATGGAGATCCGTAGGTTGAAGTAGCATTGGAGTTTTTATTCTCATGATTTGATTCTTCAGCAGACTCAGTGTACTTAATGATGTCACGTTTGCCATCAGAAGTCTCCTCTGATTTCAACTCCCCACCGATTTTACCAACAATGTCCTCCTTTGTTTTAACAAATCCAACGCTCTCAAAATCACTCAACTCATTGGCTGATAAACTCACCTCACCAGCATCGCTTCCTTTCTCATCCTGGGACTTCAAATCATCACTTCCTAACATTTGTTATCGAATCAAACAAAGCAATATCAAGAAAACAGCCTCGTTAACAAAAACCCAGGCACCAGTTTGCCCAAATACAATCGATCATTAAGTTCAAAGGTGTATGGCGGTGTCTACTTGAACTACTGGACAGACAAGCTGCACATTCGTAATACATAGCAAAACAAGAAGAAATAACAGATACACAAATACCCAATTAACCAAAAAAAAGGTGTAAAAGAAAAGGCAACAAGCACAGATAATCAATAATTGAAAAGCATGAACGCATGATTGCTTGCCAGTTATGCATGCCTTGATAAAGTACCTTGTTGGCCGTCACTTGAGGGGTTGATATTAGCCTCCTTTACCTTCTTTTTCTTGGCAGCCTTTCTCCTCCTAGAAGCTGATGGCATGATTAGGCTTTGTTAGGTAAACAATGACACGCCACAGATCGTGGGGTGTTTCCGTTCCGTCTCAATACTCTGGCCCCTGAGTGTGTGTGTGTGTGTGTGTGTATCTCTTTCTCTCACTTTTTGTGTTGGAGAGAATGAGATTAAGAATGAGACTTGTCGTGCCAATAATTCAAATAAATCAAAAGAACAGGGATTTACAGAAAGATGTTTTCTGAGAAATGCAAGAACGACACCAGGAGGTCACTGAGTGAGTGCATCTTCTACCATCGTCGCGCTCGTTGGAGTAGCAATAAATGCAGCGAGAAGAGGACGTGGTGGATTTGAGTTAAAGTTTCAAACTTGAGAAAATATTCGCAAGAGGTGGAAATGGGAAGAATCAAAGAATACAGGAAGAAGAAGGTGAGAGTAATGGCGGAAGGAATTTTTGTTTTTTTCCTTTTAATTTAATTTTGTTGGGTTGTCTGATTTTGATTAATTGTTTATTGATTTTGCACAAGTTATGGTGTGGCAGAAGAAGAAAGCGAGAGGTCTGTAATGCGCCAACTCAGTATTTTTGTCAGGGCTTGTGTGGTTCCCACTTCCACATTTTTTATCTCCACAAGGAAGAGACAAATTCGTTTTCTAAAAAAAGGATATGTAAAAAAAAATTCCTTAATTCTTTTTTTTTGACCAAAAAATTTTCTTAATTCATTCTTCGAGCAAAAATAGAAGCAAATCTCATCAATTTTTTTTTATATTTCATTTTCTATATATAAATTTTCTGAACAGAGAATAGTTAGGTAGTTACTGTGGGGAAATATTTAATTTCCTTATTTAAATTTTATATCAATAATATATATAATTCAAATATTTATTTTTTTTAGTAACTTAATAGAATTTAATAAGACAACCAAATTTTGACAGAATTATCTCAAAACAAATCAAAAGGCAAATTAGATAATACTCCATGAATTATTGATCTGTTTCTGTGTATTTCCCTGCACAGTTTCGTACTTTCATTTTAAATTCGGTATGTTCAGTGTAAATATTCTTGGTATGTCAATATATATATATATATATATATTTTTTTTTTTTTTTTGCCAACGGCATGTCAAATTGTCAATAGTACTTTAAAGCATAAAATATAATGAATATTTGTGGTGAGTCTCATTGTATATTAAAAAGTAAGATTAGATGTGTGCCAATATGATTAATTCTTTACCATGCAATCTCTTTAATTTTTTTTAATATCAAATCAATTTTTTTTTGGACAAATGTCAAATCAATATTAAATCATAACATTTTAGTGCTTTTCTTATCCAAAACCTAATTCCTTTAAAAGATTTTTTATTTTTTAAAATTTTGATTCTTATGCTTGAATATATTTGTTATTTGGTCTTTTTGACTTTTTTTTTCCTAAAATTGTACTGACAAGTTGAGATTCAAATCTTGTGGAAGAAAAAATTGTAATGAGAGAATTAACTTGAATTGAATCTAATAATGATTAAATTTGATAAGATAATATTTAAAATCTTTAAGGATGTGGATCCCATTTGCGTGGCACCACGTAAAAAAATTTTTTGCTCCTAATAAAATCAATGGTCATAAAGATTTTATAGAATCAAATTCGGTATTTAACTAATTTTCTTCTCTCTCTTTTTTTCGGCTGATGCATATTTAATCTCCTTCCTCGTTTGGTGCTATCATGTATTAATTTTGATCCCTCTTTCCCGCATATCTTTTGGAATTGATAATTTGCTCGAGATTCTTAACCAAAGTCCAAAGAGATAACAGAGGATACACATAGAACACACCTCTTTATACCTTGTTTTTCTTCTATTTTTTCTTCAATAATATCATTGCTAGTTTCAGTATTTTTAGTGTTTTTTTTTTCACTTGAAACAATGAACTTTTAGATGTTGGGACGTTGTTCGGAGTGAAGAAGGTCGTACATGGACTATTGGGACCTTTGAGCGGTATGTAAACTATGTCTCTTTGATTCTGCATCTTCTCACTTCCGCACCCCATAAAATGAAAAAGAAACACAATCTTCCTTAAGTTTTCTAGGAATGAAGCGAAAGACGCGAAGAAGAAAATAATGTAAAGTGTTGGCAGAGAGAAAGATTGGGTGAAAACTATATCTGATTCTATAAAATTTTTATGGCTGTTGATTCTACTGGGAGCAAGAGATTTTGCCATGTAGTGCCACTCATTCCATGCGTGTAGTTGGGACATGCGTGAGATCCAAATTCAATTTTAATGTGTATTCTAAGTTGTTTTTCAAACATAATAATTGCACAGGAGAGTGAAATCAAATACCATATTCCCAACAAATAAGTAATTCATCCATCCCAAATTCTAAAATAATTTAAAACAACATTACACATATCAATAAAATGTAATTATGATACCTTACAAATTTAATTTTCAAAAACTAACTATAAGTTTTTAAAAATATCCCTACACACTTAATCATTACGTTACAATATCATCTCAATTTTGTTCACTTGAAGGGTAATAATGAAAAAATATAATTAATAATACCTTAATTTTTTTAAATTATTTTATATTTTGAGATAAAAAAATTTATCTAATGTTATTTTATAATTTGAGATGGGCGAGTACATTGGCTTGAAAAAAAAAAGGCTCAAATTTTAATAACTCTTTTTTGAGATTTGAAGGTCCCTCACTAATCAGTGGCCGCAACTTCTCATTTTAAGAGGAAACGTAAAGCTTAGTGACTTGAAAGTTATTCGCCATCCTTATTATTTAACGTTACGCATGCCATGATATCAAGCAAGGCACTTTAGACTTGCATTTTCCTCTTATGATGCACTCATATGCAGAGCGACCAACGAAGCATAAACACCACCATTAATCTTCATCAAGGAGTCATGGATTCCCTTCTCAGCAATCTTTCCATTCTTCACTACTGCTATGACGTCGGCACCTTTAATTGTGGAGAGACGATGAGCTACCACTACAGTAGTTCTATTCACCGTAACATTGTCTAAGGCTTCTTGAACTACACGTTCAGACTCTGCATCTAATGCACTGGTTGCCTCGTCAAGCAAAAGGATTCTTGGGTTTTTCAATATGGCTCTTGCAATGGCTATCCTCTGCTTTTGCCCTCCTGACAACTGTGTGCCTCTCTCCCCAACAAAGGTGTCAAATCCACTTGGAAGTGAACTTATGAACGTGTATGCGTTGGCTGCTTTTGCTGCTGCAACTATCTCTTCCTCATTTGCACCTCCTATTTTGCCATAAGCTATGTTGTCTCGGATAGTTTCATTGAAAAGAATTGGCTCTTGACTAACCAAACCCATCTGCTGTCCAGAATCAGGGTCATAAAATCTCTCAAGGAGACTTATAACTGTAGATTTTCCACTGCCACTTTCTCCAACCAGAGCAACAGTCTAGGAAAAAGACATAAGAAATGCAATTACATCATATAGTCTTGGCAAGAAAATGCTATTTATTCAATCTAAAACCTTGAAGTCATGTTGATTGAATACCTTTCCAGAGGGTATGGTTAGGTTCAGTTCTCTGAAAATTTGAACATCTGGCCTTGTTGGGTATTTGAAGCTAACATTTCTGAGTTCAATTTCACCATTCACAGAATCTAATGTCATGCCCTCATCGCCACTAGAGTCAATGCTGGGTTTACTGTCTAGGATTTTAAATATTGAAGCTGTGGAGTCCTTGGCCTTGTTGGTGTCTGGTGCCCAGGCACTCGTCTGGGAAACCCCTATTGCTGTAATCGTTAAAGCAAAGAAAACCTGCAAGTAACCTACAGTAAGAACCATATCAAAAGCAGCAAAACAAATATGTGGAGACAGTCCGTTAGTGATATACCTTGAAAACCTGTCCAAAATTTGCTAACCCTTTCTTTACAAAGATGGATCCTACGTAGAAACACAGGGCATTTGTGCAGTATAAAGCAAAGAAGGAGAAGCCATAACCAACACCGCTAACAAAACCTAGTCGAATGCCTTATTTTTCTGGCCCCTCACATTTCTTCCTATACATTTCCATGACCTTCGGCTCAGCACAGAATGATGCAACAGTCCTAATGCTACCAACTGCATCATTTGCCACCTGACTGGCCTCTTCATACATCAGCTACAACAGGAAAACAAAACAAAAAATAAGTGTCCAAAATAAAACCCTTTGGATTTTATTGGCAATAAAGAAAGTAAGAACTAAGAAGGCTAACCTTAGCATCTGCACTAAACCCTTTCAGAAACCTCATCTGAAATACTCCTTGCAAAAGAATCAAAGGTGACACAGCAAGAACCACAAAAGAGAGTCTCCAATTAGCTAAAAATGCTATAAGGAGGCCTGTTGTTATTGTTGCTATGTTCTGCACAATAAGGGCCAAGGTGTCGCCAACAAGACTTCTCACAGTTGAGGCATCTGTAGATAACCTTGCACCTACTGCACCACTGGAAGATGAGAAACATTTGAGTTTGATGAATGATAGAAATTAAAGCATAATAACTCCTATAATAACTTGTTAATTTACCTTGAATTTGCAGGATCATCAAACCAACTGATTTGCTGGTGCACAACCTTCTCAAATGTCAAAGAACGAATTCGTTCTATTAATTTTCCACCAGCAACTCCAAAGAAGTAATTTTGTAACGGTAGAGTCACTAAAGAAACTAAACCCAAAATCACATAAAGAACTCCCCAAAATTTTGATTCTTTCCTCATTTGTTCAGGTGGTTTATATAACATTCTAATAGCTGATGAAAGCAGGAGGCCAAATATAGGGAAAACTAGGCCTTGTATTGCAGCTGCAACTGATCCAAGCAATAACACAGGAATCTCAGTTTTGTTCAAATAGGCCAAGCGCATAATGGAAACCTCTTGCCGCTTGACATTTGCAGATTTGGGTTTTCCAGGATCATCACCTTCTCCAGAAGGATATGTATTAGTTCGATTAGCTAGATCAAGGCTAAGTGAGTGAGAAGATTGCCTTCCTGATGAAATTCTTCTAAATGATCTCAACCATGATTTTTGGTTCTCAGAGGAAGAAATGTTTCTGTCTATATAACTGGTAGTGGCCTTATCTGTTTCCGATTTTTCTCCAGCTTCAGCTTTATCTGCACCTTCTTGGAGACGAACAAGCTGAGAATAAGCACCATCAGGATTCTGGATTAACTCATCATGAGTTCCTGCTAATAGAAGAAAAATGACAAAGTGTATATGTAATTATTTTGAGTTCAAGGATTTTAACAATAAAATTAGTCGCGGTGCTGTATTCATATGTGAATGAAATTTGGCCCAAAAAAAAAAAAAGAATAAAATGCATAAGAGTAGGTAATGTAACCTTTTTCCACTATTTTCCCTTGATACACCACTGCTATTGCATCAGCATTTCTAATAGTTGTCAAACGATGAGCAACAACCACTGTGGTCCTGTTTAACATGACATTTACCAATGCATC